TTTATTATTAATTTCAATGAAATTTTACAGACACTTTGGATTTCCATTCATTCATTGTTGCACTTTTCCCCCTTTCCAACCCTCCCCCCTAGTACACTACCCTCTTGGAAAAGTAAAAGAAAAATTCTTTCATTGTTTTACAATCCCTCCCCTCAGGTCCACTCCACTATGCAGCTTTAGCTCTGGACTCCCATCGTGACAAAAATACCTAATCACATATCCCTTTTAAACAGTTTTCTCCCTCATCTGTTTAAATGCAATATACATTATTGAACCATCTTTCTCAGTCTCTCCCTAACCCCGAGGTCAGTCCTGTTTTACGACAGTGGCACCATACAGTATTTGTCCTTTTGTGACTGAGATACTGTCACTCAGCATAATGTCCTCCAGGGTCACACATTTTTAATAATATTGCTTGAATTCCTTGTTTTTCAATGCAACATAGTATTCCATTGTATGAATATACCATAGCTTCTCTATCCATTCGTTTGTTGATGGGCACTTAGGTTGTTTCCAGCTCCTTGCTATTGTGAACAAAGCCGCGATAAACATGGGTGTGCATATATCTGCTTGGATGTCAGTTATGGTCTCTTTGGGGTATATTCCCAGTAGTGGAATTGCTGGGTCAAATGGTATCTCTATTTGCAACTTTTTGAGAAAGCGCCACATCGACTTCCACAGTGGCTGCACCATTTTACATTCCCACCAACAGTGAATAAGGGTTCCAGTTTCTCCACAACCTCGCCAGCATTTGTTGCTTGCTGTTCTGTTAAATTTTGCTATTCTGACTGGGGTGAGATGATCTTTCATAGTTGTTTTGATTTGCATCTCTCTCAGAACTAGGGATTTTGAACATTTCTTAATGTGCTTGTTAGCCATCTGAATGCTGTCTTTGGTGAAGTGTCCATATCCTGTGCCTATTTTTCTATTGGATTATTTACCTTTATCTTGTTGTGGTGCTCACGTATTTTATAAATTCTGGGTATAAGTTCCTTATCTGATATGTCATTACCAAACACTTTTTCCCAGTCTGTGGCTTCCCTTTTTACCCTGGTGGAAAAGTTTTTGGATGTGCATAGGGATTTGATTCTTAAAAGGTCCCATTCATCTATTTTATCTTCTCCTGGTTGTAGGATTAGCCCTAAATTTAAGGTTAAGAGACTTGGATTTTCTATCCAAAATTTACTGAGCAACATAAAATAGTCCTTTAACCTCAGGGCCTCTTTTTTTATATGTAGGAGATAATGGTGTCTGACCTGGCAGTCTCAAAGTTGGTGTGAGGTACCAAAGTTTCATTAAAACTTCCAAGTCCATTTAGCACAACAGGTTATTATGATTTAGTTCATTCTTGTGGAATGCTTATTTTTCAGTCACAGCCTCCTACTGTGGCTGTTAGGCTTGTATTAAGCCATGCTATCTAGAATTCTGTCTTGTGTGGGATTTTGCCCCCCTATTGTTTCTTGCATGTACAGATGTTATTGAAATGATTGGTGATTTCTAAGTTACTGAAATTCATTAGCTGTTACAACTTTTCATTATTATAAATAATTATAACCTAAATTAAAAAATTATTAACTAAATGAGTACATACTTTATGGCTGGCAGCTTATGCCATAAGTTTTCTTTTATTGAAATAATTTAATCACTACTAAAGGAATTAAGATATTTGTTGTCTTGGCAGACCCCAAAGCAAAAGACGTCAGGAACTCCATATCGAACTCCAAAGAGTGTGAGAAGAGGGGCAGCCCCAGTGGATGATGGGAAAATTCTAGGAACCCCGGACTACCTTGCACCTGAGTTGTTACTAGGCCGGGCCCATGGTAAGACATATGACTTTTTGAAGTGTTATCTATTTGTGGCTACATTGTCTTTCTCGGTAAAAATGTTTATCGTTTCTTTGGTATTTAGATTGGCCAAAGTAAAACAAAATAAACCCATGCAATACTCTTTACTTATAAATATATAGCCTTTATTGTAGAAAGAGGGGGAAAAGGAATGTCTATGGCTGTCTTATTCTTTCAACATGAAAGACCAGACATTGGAGAATATGCAGCTATTTGTCCTCTTTATTCAGATTCATTTTACTACACTGGAGAAGCACCACCTCCTACCCCCTTGGCCTCTTTCTATCTCACCTTTGTTCTTTTGTTTCCTCAAGTCTGTTCAACTTAATGTTGAGGAATACAAAGTTGGGTCTATAAAGTTCTGCTCTGTCTTCTGAAGCCTATTCTGTTTACTCTCATTTATAGTCTCACCAGAAGGATCAAACCAGAAATGACCCATTCTTTAAAATGGAACAGAAAAGAATAAAAAGATTCTGTTTAACCTCTTCCTTCCTTTCTGAAATAATCTCCTTGTGCTATATCTTGGTGTTAGGATGAACCTTTGCTTGGATCCCCTTCATGACCATCTGTCTCGTCCTCTTCACTCTATACACATCATTCTTCCATTTTTAATCCTTTGCTAACATTTTTTGCTAAGATTGAAAAGTGTTACCAATTTACTTTGTTTTTCCTCTCATTGCTTAACTTGTCAAAGTTTTCCTATAACACTCTTGGTACCAACAGCCAGAAAATCAAAGAAGAATTGCATTGGGAAAATTGGCTGTCAGGGACCTCTCCAGAGTACTGAAGAGCAACGATGTTAGTCTGGAGACTAAGGTGCATCTGATCCAGGCCATGGTCTTCATAATTACTTGCTATGCATCAGAAAGCTGGACAAAGAGTAGGGATGCTAGAAGGAGAATTGATGCCTTTGAGCTGTGGTGCTGGAGAAAAGTATTGAATATACCATGAACTATTAGGAGAACAAACAGGTTTGTCCTAGAGACGGTGAGACCAGGCTGCTTCTTTGAGGCAAAGATTCTGAAGAGCCACGTAACATATTCTGGGCATGTTTTAAGGAGGGATATCATGCTTGGGAAGGTGGAGGAACAACGCAATAGAGGAATACCCTGGATGAGATGGATTGATTCAATTAGTGACTAGGATAAGGGGGTGTGTCAAAATATATGAGGTTGGCTCAGGATAGAGCAGGGGTCAGGGCTGTTGTACATAGGGTCACTATGAGTCGAAAGCAACTCAGCAGCACTTAACAGCAACAGCAACAACTCATAAAATATAACCAAAACGGTTTCCTTCACTGGCACCAATGATGTCATTATTGTCACATCTACCAGTCCTCCTTCAGTCTCATTCATCGTAACTTCTATAGCTTCTCCTCAGCTTCCTCCCTTTTTTTTAAAAATAATATTTCAAGAATGTGTTCTTTACTTTTTTTCTCTTATATAGCCTGCCTACTAATCTTGTCATTTTCATGATTTCAGCTGTTAGTGCTTTAAAATCCAAGTCACTGTGCATCATAATGTAGGCTATAAGTGCTCATCCTAATTTCATTTTTCAAATAATCTCTATGTCCCTGCCTTGTTTCCCCATTCCATTTTGTAAATACATTTATTCCCAGATCTTCCTAATTTTGCACATTTAGTTTAGGAATAGTACTCAGTAAAATTTTGAATGAAATTTCTTCCTTGCTTTTCATCCGTGGCTTAAATATTGTCGTTTCCATAAAGCATCCCTTGACAATCATGGAGAATTTATTATTCACTCCTATTTAACTATATTTAAAAACTGCCTAAAACATGCCAGAGACTTGTGCCAATGGATTTTTGAGGATTTTGCACTGCCAACCCTGAGACAGGCAGTTTGAATCCACTTTACCTGCTCCACAGGGAAAAGATGGGCTGCCTCTTTCCATGCTATCTACGGCCTATGACAACCCACTACAGAGCCAGCAGAGTTGGAACTGACTCCATGGGAATGAGCTTAACTCAAAACATGCCAGCTTTCTTGTGCTCTACTATAGAACTTAAGAAAACTTCTTTGGAGCAGCAGGTGGGTTTTCTGCCTTTTAGAAAGGGAGCCCTGATGGCACAATCTGTAGGGAATTATGCTGGCACCTTTCTGGTGATTCAAATCCAGTACCAGTGGCTCGGCAGGAGGGAAAAGGGCAACATCCTCTCATGTGATTTACAGTCTCTGAGCCCACTGGAGGGTTCCCAATGACTCAGTTCTGACTGGACAGCAATGAATTGAGCTGACATTAGGTACTCTGTCTTGTGTTCACATAGCTTCATGTGCTAAATTTTCTTCTGGCTTTCTTAGTAGGTGTTTTCTCCTTAGGAAATGATTGTTGTTGTTGTTGTTATGTGCCGTTGAGTCGCTTGTGACTCATAGCGACCCTATGTACAACAGCCCTAAACTCCGCTCTGTCCTGTGCCAATCGCACTGTCTTTGACACTCCCATCCCAATTACCCCAGTCACTGAATCAATCCACCTCATAGAGGGCCTTCCTCTCCTGCACCGTCCCTCCACCCTCCCAAGCATGATGTCCCTCTCCAAAGACCAGTCTCTCCTCACAACATGTCCAAAGTAAGTTAGACGGAGCCTCAGAATCCTTGCCTCCAAGGAGCCACCCGGTTTAAGCCTCTCCAGAACAAATCTGTTTTTTTTCCTAGCAGTCCATGGTATTCTCAATACTCTTCTCCAGCACCACAGCTCAAAGGCATCAATTCTCCTTCTATCCTCCTTGGTCATTGTCCAACTCTCTGATGCGTAACAGGTGATTGCGAAGACCATGGCATGTATCAGACGCACCTTAGTCTCTCTTTCCCCTGATATATACCACAATGCCTGTGCCATTGTTCAATGAATGTGAGTATGAACTCAAAATTTTAATGTAATACCCCTAACAACTTTTCTCTTACATGCAGGATTTCTGACTTCAGGTGAGTGAGCATATCTATGGTATGGCAAAGCCTATTAAAACTGAACAGTCAAAGTATAACTAGATCACACTGCATGGGAAAAAATGTTTTTCATTTGTCATTTATGAAATACTGAAATGATCGGTCTTCTGGGCAGTAAGACAATCTAGAAAGGTTAATTATCTCTGTGAGAAGGGATATCGGGATGAGGTATTTTAAAGGTATCATAAAGTGAAGATACAACTTCTTTATTATAAAAGAGGAAGTATGCTTGATAAAATATTAAAATTAATAACAAAAGCTCTCCAATTTTAAAGTCATTTCATGCCATTGAGAAAATGTATAAGTATGGCAATATTAGTCTATAGATCATAGAAATGAGTTTAAATTAGAAAGCTAGAATGTAAAATATATTAAATTTATTTGGGTAATATATTATGACTACCAAGATTCATTAATATAATGTGATCTTATTAGACTTTGGCTCAAAAATATGGGTATGTGTGATATATCCATGGAGAAATAGCATATCAGTTTATTTTGGCTGCGCTGGGAAAAGGGTCTTAATTTCTAATTTATGTGAAAATATTTTCTTTTCTTTCTCCCATTTCCTCTGTTCTCTAGCTAAAGACTTTTCATATTATCTAATCCACTGGAATAATTCTTTCTCAGTACTACTTAAAAAGTCTACTAACTGAGGTGGCTTGTATATTTTTATAGTGATTACTATATAAACAGAAGCCTATTGACTATGTGCATCTTGAATTCCTAAAAGGGAAGAAGGAATTGTGTGGCTTATAGGTTAAAAAGTTCTTTCTGTGCATGCAACTATTTTCCCTATGGGCAGATTTCATAATGCTTTACAAACTAGTTTTAAAATGGGATGGTGGCAGTTGTTAAACCACAGTAATAAATTTTTTAAAGTATAATTTTTAAGAGAAATTTAACACTGACCAGAATTCTGATTCTAAATTTGCATTGAACTTAACTATTTTTTTATTGAAAGTAATCCTTGTTTAGGAAACACTTTTCTACATAGAAAAAACTAAATAAAAAATATAAACCCAGATTAAAGTTATATTTAAAATAATCATTTGAAATATCTTTACACATAAATGAAACTTCCAATAAAGATATAATTTAGATATCCATTTTACTATTTATGAAAACTTGTCTTCTAATTTTCAAGTCATAATTTAGGTAAATATTTGTTATTACTTATGTTCTAAAACACTGTAATTAAAGCACCCATCATTGTCCGTTTACTCTCCAGTAATAGTAGTATAAATATTGCTTGCTCATCTCACAGTTTATACTGAACAAGAGGGACACAAGATAATAACATAAGTGTTATTTTTTCCTAATTTTAAATTGAAATGTACTCAAGTATTTTAGAAACTAACCTTCAGGATAACTACTGTTTGCTTATATTTTAGACAGTAGATCACAAAAGTATTCAGAATATCAGAAGTTATTAAGAAATGAACACAGTATTCATTCTTAAGTAGTGGTAGTAATGGCTAAGCCAAACTTCTTGGAAAATAATTACTAAATGAAAATAACATAGGGTTTTTTAACCTTCTAACACCTGGAGGAGCCAAAGTTGTCCAATGGATAAACTCTCAGCTGCTAACCTTCTGGTTCGAACCCAGTTGGTAAAAGAAAGATCTAACTGTGTGCCTCTGTAAAGATTACAGCTTTAGAAAAATTCTGGTAGTACTACTTTGACCTAGAAGGTTGCTATTAGATGGAATCAGTTGAGACAACAGGAGTACACCAGAAAAAAAGCCTTGGGAAATGAAATCCTTGGTTATACACAAATATTTGTGTGTTTACATTTCAGCTGATGTACATTTGTAGAAAATATACAATTAAATTCTTTTAAATTCCAGGTCCTGGAGTAGACTGGTGGGCACTTGGAGTTTGTCTGTTCGAGTTTCTAACAGGAATTCCTCCCTTCAATGATGAAACACCACAACAAGTATTCCAGAATATTCTGAAAAGAGGTGATCCCTTCTAAGATTCATTTATCATTTATGTCTATGTATTATTTTTAGCAATAATGAACAAGCTTATTTGTATAATTTTTTTTATTTTCAGATATCCCTTGGCCAGAAGGTGAAGAAAAGCTATCTGATAATGCTCAAAATGCAGTAGATATACTTTTAACTATTGATGATACCAAGAGGGCTGGAATTAAAGGTAGGATGGTTGTATTAATGAACTCTTTGCTGCTAATTTGTTTCAAGCAGTGGTTACTTATAACAGTAGCAGAGTCTAATAACCATTACAGATAAATTAACTGGTAAAAAGATAATTTAGGGTTTTTCTCTCTCTTGTAGATATACAGTGAAATATATATTCTTACTCTGAATTAAGATTCAGTAGTGTCAAATTGCAATATCATTCACTGAAATTTATAAACCTCAAAAAATGTATCTGTAATGGCTTTAACTTGTCTGTCAATCAGTGTTGTTAGATGCCATCAAGTTCTACGACTTACAGCAACCCTATAAACAACAGTCTGAGCCCTGCCCCATCCTGTGCCATCCTCATCTCTGACATACTTGAGTCCACTGCTGCAGTCATTATGTCAGTCCATCTCATTCAATCCATCTCTTTCACTGACCCTCCACCTTTCCAAGCATGATGTCCCTCTCCAAGGAATAGCCCCTCCTAACAACATGCCCACAGTATGTGAGACAAGGCTTCCCCAGAAATTCATTTAAACATTTCTAAGTTTTATAAAATTAGCCACCAACAAATAGAGAATTTTTATTTACTAAAGATCTTCATTCTGTAATTTCACATTGCTCATTACGATATACAACTTTGCTTGCTGAAAGTGAGGAGGATTTAAAGCTGCAGAAGATCAAATAACACAGCCTTCAGTATGGATCTTAATGTCAAGAAAACAAAAAGTTTTCAGCACTAGACTTATAGCCAACAAATGGAGAAAAGATTGAAACTGTAAACAACTTCATCTTACTTGGATCCATAATCAAAGTACCAGCAATCATTAAATCAGATGTATTGAGAAAGTCAACAGTCAGATTACTGAGGAACAGTCATGTCAGTTTTAGGATTAAAGTGTGTCTGATTTCAGGCCATGGTCTTCTCAATCACTTGGTATGCGTCTGAGAGCTGGACAATGAATAAGGATGACAGAAGAAGCATTTGAGCTGTGGTGTTGGAGAAGAGTATACTGAATATCCTATGGACTGCCAAAAGAACAAACAGTTATATCTTGAAGGTGCGGCCAGAGTGCTCCCTCGAGGCAAAGTTGATAAAGGTTCATCTCACATAGTTTGACCATGTTGCTATGAGATGCTATTCCTTGAGGGATGTCTCATTTGGAAAGGTAGAGGAACAGCAAAAGATAGGAAGACCTTCAACCAGATGGACTGACATAGTGACTCCAGCAATGAGCTTGAGTGTGTCAGAGACTGTGAAGTTGGCACAAGATAAGACAGGGTTCAGAACTGTTGTTGTTAGGGTCACTATGAGTCCTACTCAACTTGACAGCACCTAATACATTCTGATACTGTATGTGAGGTATATATTTTTATGTCAGACTTTGTCTTATAGAAATTATTATTATTATTATTTAATCACTCTAAAACTGAGTAAAAACTCAAAACTCTAGATGTCAGTGGTTTACCTAGTTAAGACAGTATCATAGTAACAGTAGAATATTTGAAGCAAAAATAATTTTTATCTTGAGAGGAAACTAATTCATAATGGCAGTAGTTTAAGAACTGTAAATTTAAGCCAATAGTGATATTCTAATGGCTGCTATGACAGGTATTAGGATGATTTTCTCCAGTTTTTCTGCTGGTATTTATTAAGGAAAAACCTTGTAGCAAAAAAGACAAATATAAGACCACTGTTATAAAAAGCGATAGGAATGTTTACACAGCTACAGGAATGTTTACTTTTTGAGCTATTTACTGTTGTGACTGTCCATTCATTGTTTTCTGAATTATAAGTTTAGCTTCCTTCCATGAATCTGTATTAAATGAAGAATTAAAGATAGACCTACCAACTAAATGGCACATTGTGTGATCAAAGAGCAATATTTCATTAAGCAGTAAACATGACAGATAAAAAAAAATAATTCAAATAAGGTGAGCAAAGTTTGAGATTTTATAAGTGGTGTAGAACAATAATATTAACATTATTGATGTAGTTATACTGATGCATAGTTTGTGGAGACTTAAGCCAATGGAAAAAAGGCATTACAAGCATATTTAATGTATATAATGAAATCATCTTATAGGATAAGGAAGGAAAAACAGTGATGATTATGCTAAAGTTATCTACGTCAATAAATAATGCTAAGGACTGAAGTGATAAAAACAGGTAGTAACACAGGTGTGCACAGTTTGGTGGGGTGGGTAGAGGGGGCGAAGGAAAAGGGAAGGATCTGGTGGGGTAATGATGGGTAAAGTCCAATGGTGATTAATGTTAGAAAGCATAATTATGAAACACAATATGAATGAAGAGTAGTGTGAAACACAATGTATGCAAATTTGTAAGCAAATCTATATAAAACTAAAAAAATAATTAAAAACGGGTAGCAAGAATTTGGATGAGAAATGAAGAAGTGATAGAAGACTAATGATAAGAAAGCTAAAAAGTCTTAGGGAGCTCTCGTGGCCTAGCGGTAAGACGCTGCACTGCAATCCCAGAGGTACGTGGTTCAAATCCACCACATGCTCTGCTGGAGAAGCAGGGGGTAATCTCCTCCTGTACCAGTCAGATCTGATTTGACGGTACACATAAAAAATAATACAATAAAAATTAGGGGGAAAAAAAAACAAGCTAAGCAGTCTTGGGAGCAAGAAGTAGACCAACTCTTCTTTCCCTGAGTCAGGTATCATGGGGAAAGATGCAGGCAGGAAGAAAGCCTGCCTTCCATGAAGGCAAATTACTCATTCAAATATTTAACAAATACAAACCGAGCACGTTTTACATGCAAGGTGATACAAAAAATAACACAGAGTGTTTGTGATGTAAGCAGTCTAAAAGAGACAGATGTTAAATAAATGTCCAAAATAAAGTAGGACAAAATACATATGAAACATTATTTTTTGAAAGTCCTATAGAACAATATTTACGTGATGATGTCCTAATATTCTGGTTTGTTTTTTGTTTTTCTTAAGAGCTGAAACAACATCCTCTCTTCAGTGATGTGGACTGGGAAAATTTGCAGCATCAAACTATGCCTTTCATACCCCAACCAGTTGATGAAACAGATACATCCTATTTTGAAGCTAGAAATAATGCTCAACACCTCACTGTGTCTGGATTTAGTCTCTAGCACATACCATTTTCCTTTCACTTTAACCCTATGTTGTAGAATAAGCCTGCAGAGTCATATACTCCTAAAATGCCAGATTGAACTAAGGAAAATATTTTGCCTCAGTCATTGAGCTTTTAATGTTACAACTACAAATTTAAGAGACAAATAATTTATCTTAATCTATGGACTATATATATATATATATACAGAGAGAGATCTTCAAAGCTTTTTCATCTTATTTATTTTGTCTTTGGCACTTTATGAGATTGAACACATCAAGAAAACAAGAATGACACTCACTTTATAGAGAGCACAAATGTGCGCTTCATTTTCTTTCCGTCTATTGATATCTGTCCATCATTTCTAGATTTGTCTGGTGTTATAATAAAAAAGTTGTATCGTTTTTCTTAAATGTAATTTATTTGCACATAATTGCCTGCAAATACTCTGCTCTCAAGGGCAATCATTTAAGGCTGCGTTTGTAGTTCTTAGAAAATGCCTTCATTCGGTATGTTGTGGAACATGTCTGGGGAATGAGGAATAAACACAAGGTCTAAGTATCTTTTAACTTACTTCATGATAATAGCTAAATGTGGTATTTTGCTATCATGACGGTTTCGGGCCTGCTCTTCTGCAATACGTATTTGTTTAAAATGTTACTGGAAAGGTTAAATATAGCAATCTTAGTAGCTTGTTCAATTTTAGCAGAAAATATGTGATGTTTTCAGAGATAGGCTGTACTTAATAAATATCACTGTAAAATATTTCAGAGGAATGTCTATTTGTGCTTCATTGACTATGCAGAGGCTTTTGACTGTGTGGATCACAACAAGCTATGGCTGACTCAGAAGAATGGAAATCCCAGAACATGATTGTGCTTATGCGAAACCTATACTTGGACCAAGAGGCAGTGTCAGAACAGAGCAAGGAGACATTGCATGGTTCAAAATTGGGAAGGGGGTCAGCCAGGGATGTATTTTATCTCCATACCTTTTCAGTCTGTATGCAGAACAGGTCATCAGGGATGCTGGGCTATACGAGGAGGAATATGGCATCAGGATAGGTAGAAGATTCATCAACAACCTGTATTATGCAGATGACACAACCCTGCTTGCCGAAATTGAAGAGGACCTGAAGCGCTTGCTGCAGAAGGTAAAGGACCACAGCCTTCTATACAGATTGAAGCTCAACATCAAAACAAAGATTCTCACCATTGGGCCAACTAACTGGCAGCATGAACAGACAGATTGTTAACAGTTTTAGTTTGCTTGGCTCCACAGTCAACACTCTTGGTACCAGAAGCCAGAAAATCAAGAGATGAATTGCATTGGGAAAGTCAGCTGTCAGGGACCTCTCCAAAGTACTGAAGAGCAATGATGTCAGGATGGAAACTAAAGTGCGCCTGATCTGGGCGATAGTCTACGTAATTGTGTGCTATGCATCAGAGAGCAGGACAGTGACTAGGGATGATTGAAAGAGAATTGATGCTTTTGAGCTGTGGTGCTGGAGAAGTGTTGAATATACCTTGGATTAGTAGGAGAACAAACGGGTTTGTCCTGGAGAGGGTAAAGCCAGAACACTCCTTGGAGTCAAGGATTCTGAAGCTTTGTCTGACATACTTGGACATGTTGCAAGGAGGGACCAGTCATTGGAGAGGGACATCATGTTTGGGAGAGTGGAGGGACAGCACAGGAGAGGAAGACCCTCGATGAGATGGCTTGATTCAGTGATTGGGGTGGCAGGAGTAGCTGTGTAGACAATGAGGTTAGCACAGGATAGAGCAGAATTTAGGGCTCTTGCACATAAGGTTCGCAAATGATTCAATGGCACATAACAAAATATTTCAAGTGGTTATCTTTCAATATCATTCTTTTACGTACAAGATATATTTACATCTTTTTAAATATATGTGTTTTGTGAGGATAGTGCAAAAATGTTTTTCATTCTGTTGTACACCGGTGAGTCAGCTCAATAGCACCTAACAGTACATAAGTATGTATGCCAGGATTTAACTTCACAGGTCATATCTTAAATTCTCTGAGGCTTTCAGTATACTTTCTACTCAAAAAAGCAAAAATTCATTTGCATGTACCTAAACAATCTAATATATTAATGTATACAACAATGTATTAATTACTGTTTTTTGCTCCTTGATCTTATTCTTACCTTTGAGTGAAAGTTTACAGACCCTAACTAGTTTTCCATCTACAATTTATGCACATTTTATGACATTAATTACACGTTCATTGACTTGCATGTTTGACTTTTTGTTATCATCCTACTAAAAACCCTGCTGTAATTGTGGTTGATAAATATAGTAAATTTAAAACTACTGGGCTGCTAAATGTATTTGGTGGTTCAAATCCACCAGCAATTCCACAAGAAAAAAAGATTGACAGTCTCTTGTTGCAATTTGCAGCCTCAGAAACCCGATGGTCAGTCATGATGAGAACAGACTCAACAGCAGTGAGATGCACAGAAAGGGCCCTGGTAACACAGTGAGAACACTGAGCTGCTAACTGAAAAGTTCCCAGTTCTAATCCACCAGCTGCTTTCCTAGAGAAGGATCACAATCTCCTCCTGTAAAGATATGTAGCCTCAAAAACTGAATGGCAGGCTACTATGAATTGGAATCAACTTTATGGCAGTGGATTTAAAAACTTCTAAACTGTACAATGAAGAGGGAATTTGGGGTAAGGGGTGTAGTCTTCTAAGGAAAAGAAAGGATCACGAGTAAAGGCTAGCAGTTCATTTTCCATGGATATCTTATATCACAGAATGGGTATTCATGAGGTATCATTACTATGTATAATACATCATGTAAATAAATCTCTCCTTGCTTTAAACCACTGAACTAACCCCTACTACTCCCAACAAATTCTTCATCACAATGACCTTCATTTGCTATGCATCCAGCTTTCCAAATCACTGAAAAGGCTGAGGACTTCCTTGCACTAAAGTCAGGTTAACAGACCTATTACAGTGATTTTGATCATCTAACCAAGTTATAATATTATCAGGAGGAGCCTGTTCTTGGAACATCATGCTTGGAAAGGTGGAGAGCCAGTGAAAGAGCAGAAAACCCTCAGCTCGGTGGATTAACACAGTGACTGCAACAATAGGCTAAATGGGTTCCGAGGCTGGAATGGAGCAGGATCAGGCAAAGTTTTGATTGGTTATGCATAGGGCCATGACAAAAAATCCATGCTGTGAAGCTGGAAGAGAGTACGGAATATCATGGCCTACCAATAGAAGTATGTCACGAAGAAGGGCCAGTAGACGCACCAACAGGAGCCTTTCCATTTTATTTCTTTATACCACTACATTGTTTAGTAGGGAGCTCTGGTGGCCTAGTGGCAAGAAGCTGTGCTGCAATCTCAAAGGCCCATGGTTCGAGGTCACCACCAGCTGATCCGGGGGAGATTGATGGGCAATCTCCTCCTGTGTGATTAACTGTCTCTGACAACCCGCCAAAGGGTCTGCTCTGGGTCAGTTCCGACTCGATGGTAAACACCACCACACTGCTTAGTAATACTTGTAGCTTTCATTAGGAAAGAGTCTTTCCTATGCTCCATTGTTGTTATGTGTCATTGACTATGATTCAGAACCCTGTGAAACAATAGCTCTGAACTCTGTCCTATCCTGCACCAAATTTACCATCTCTACATGTGCCACAATCACTGTGTCAGTCCATCTCATCCAGGTTTTCCTCTCCTGGCGCTGACCCACAAGCCTACCAAGCATGATATCCTTCTCCAAGGACCAATCCTGACCATGTGCCCAAAGTTATGTGAGATGAAGCTTCAAAATTCTTGACTCCCAGGAGCAACCTGGAGTCAACCCCTCTAGGACAGACTTGTTCTCTTGGTGGTCCATGGAATGTTCAATACTCTTCTCCAGCAGCACAACTCAAAGGTTTTGATTCTTCTGTCATCCTTAGTCACTGTCCAGCTCTCAGATGCATAGCAAGCAACTGAGAATAACATAACTTGGATCAGTTGCACATTTTAGTCTCTAGACCGACATCATTCATTACTCTTTAGCAATCTGGAGAGTTCCCTGACAGCTGTCTCATCTTTTGATTTTCTGACGGCTGGTGCTATGCACATCAGAAGATGGGGCAGTGAGGCCATGAGCATTAACACCCAGACACAACACACCAGGAAGCCCAGACTGCTGTCATCGTCAGGGAATAGAGAGATAACAAAAGGGTAAGAGTGGCTAGGGGGGTCTGAGGCATCATATTAGGGTCAGTTCAGGGTTCAGGCCTTGCCTAGGAGCTGCTCACAGTGAGAGGTTTGGGAGGCAATGTTGAACAAAGGGGGCCATGCCTAATTTATCTGTCAGTTTTGTATTGGGGAAGTGTCTTTGCCTGCTGATGCTCTTAATAGCTTAGAAATGTTTGCTTATCTATCATCTGCTCTTTTGAGTAAAATGTTTGTCAGATAGTGTACTAAAGCTGAGTTTCCAAATTAAGACAGAGTAGGAAGAAAGACTGGCCATCCACTGCCAAAATAACAAGCCTTCAATAACCCCATGAACACTACAGCATGCTCCATTACTCCCTTTAACCTTTAGAATAAGATTCTTGAACAGTAGACTACATAATGCTTTTCTGATGACCAGTGATGTTCTACCTCTTTCCAACTGCTTAAGTTATTTATACTTTCTTTTCAATCCTGATCACTTTTCCATCCTTTGATCCATTATTAGCACTTACATCAAATGTATGTTTTGGAGGCATAGTTGAAAGAGTTAATAAGAGGAATTGAAGCCAAACGAATTTACACATGCAATAGAAAGATAATGGCTGTATGATCTAACTTAAAAAAGCAGAAAGTATTCTCCCTCAAACCTATTAACCACTGAAGCCAGACTGATGCTTCCTGGAGCATCACTGACTAGTGCCAGTATTTACTATTACACCCTATTTTTAACTCACATTTTTAAAACAATAGGCTTTCTGACAGATTGTTCTTAAGTACAAGATGTCCATAAATCACACGTTCTTAACCTGG